GGGGATTTCAGACGGTCCACGTTAGACCCCTGAGGGGGACGTCAGACGGTCCACGTTAGACCCCTGAGGGGGACGTCAGACGGACCACGTTAGACCCGTGAGGGGGACGTCAGACGGTCCACGTTAGACCACTGAGGAGGATGTCAGACGGACCACGTTAGACCGCTGAGGGGGACGTCAGACGGGCCACGTTAGACCGCTGAGGGGGACGTCAGACGGGCCACGTTAGACCCTTGAGTGGGACATCAGACGGTCCACGTTAGACCCCTGAGGAGGATGTCAGACGGGCCACGTTAGGCCCCTGAGGGGGACATCAGACGGGCCACGTTAGACCCCTGAGGGGGACTTCAGACGGGCCACGTTAGACCCCTGAGGGGGAAGTAAGACGGGCCACGTTAGACCCCTGAGGGGGACTTCAGACGGGCCACGTTAGACCCCTGAGGGGGACTTCAGACGGGCCACGTTAGACCCCTGAGGGGGAAGTAAGACGAGCCACGTTAGACCCCTGAGGGGGACGTCAGACGGGCCACGTTAGACCCGTGAGGGGGACGTCAGACGGTCCACGTTAGACCCCTGAGGGGGAAGTAAGACGGGCCACGTTAGACCCCTGAGGGGGACGTCAGAGGGTCTGAGTAGTCCCTGTCATGGGCCTGTCCTCTGAACTGTGCAGTATCAGACATTATGTGTCTTTTAGTCCCATATTCTACATCCTCCGTCTTCGCTGATGGTGAATTTTTATGGCTTATTAGGCGAAATAAAGCATTAATTATCTCAGGTTTTGCTTCGATGAATGAACAAATAATAATATCGCTCCTGCTCTCCTTGATTTCCAAGGACCTCAAAGCGGAGCGAGAAGGGAGGAACCGCCGAGGCGGTAGGCGTATCTTTGGGCAGGTGGTCTTAAATGGGGCGATTACGGAGGATTTGGGATTTCAGTGTCAGTGTTGAACATTTCTGCTGAGGGTGTGTGGACAGGTGTGCACTGCATTGGACGAATGTGCAGTGAAGCTGCACCTATCTGCTGACGTTGGACTTGGGAGGAGTTGATGGTTTTTGTCCTCCACCCAAAAAGAATGAAGGTGTGTCCTCTGTGCTCAGGTGTCTCCCCAGTGGACACAGATCAAACGCCTCTAGTCCAGCAGTCAGTGAGCAGCAGAGACATAGAGGACGGCCAATATCGGCGTCTCAGCAGGACGGTGGGCCCTTTGTGGGACCGACTGGCTGGTCCACTTGGTCACTGGGAAGTTCCCAGTTTGGACGCCGTCACTACTGGCTTTAAAAGGATCAGTGAGGCTTTGATGCAGCAACATCTGATCAGATCAGACTTTCCTTTGGTTCTAAACAGTCTGTATTAATTAGCCTCCTTCCTTCAGCCTCTCCTTTCTGGCCCTTTTGTTTCTAAAGCGCCTTATTTATTTATTCAGTATTTTAAATGTGGTGCCCATCAATACGTGTTTTAATGTTTCTCATATAATCAGTGTTTACTTGCAATATGAATAAAATAAACTATTAATTTCAGTCCGTTTAAAACGCTGAACTAGTCTAAGATGAACAGACCTTCATTCTCCTCCACTGTTTCACCTGCATGGAGGCGGAACTGTCGTCTTCTGTCCATCTATTTATAAAATAAAAGAAATATCACAGCAACAGTTAACTGGAACTGGTTTTATGCCTGTTTAGGATACATTTTACATCATTGTTATTTATACTTTAGTAAAAATATGTTAAAATATAATCAGTGCTCTAACTTGGGTAAAGTTTCTGGCTCCATCTACTGTCAGTAACTTCACTAAACATTTAGAGACAAACTTATTTTTATACTCAAAGCGTTTTGGTTAAATGTTGTTTTCCATCTGCTGAGCAATTTGTTGATTGAAAATACAGTAAACCGTTTACTGTAACTTTACCTGCAACTATTGGCTGTTATAACTCAGCTGTTATGATAATAGATCAGTTAATCAGTAATTTAGTCTAGTAGCGTTTTTAACTATCTACTGTTTTACACTAACTTGACTAATTTCTTTAAAGGTTAATTTTACCTGAATAGAAATATGGCAAATAGTTCAACTCTTAAGAACATTCTGGTTTCTCCACTTCTTCTCTGAACTCTTATATTTTCTAAATTACTTTTTTGCAGCAGAAACTTTCAAAATACTTTTATGCAGCAGAATTTCAGAAAGTAAAAAAGAAAAAACATAATTATAGTAAGAATGAATCTTTATTTATCTAGAAATGTTTCCACATTTTAAGTCTCTATTTTGACATTTATCAGCTTGACTGAAAATGTATTTATGATGAGAAAACATTTCTTCATAGTAACTAATACAAATGCTGACTGGTAACAATAGGAATAGGTAGATCTGAAATTAATTTCTAGACATCCAGAAAGTTTATTCTAGATGTGAAGAATGCCTTTTTTTTTTTTACTAATGGTAATTTTGACAAGGAAAAAAGTTTTTTCAGACATCAGGTAACATGTTCAGACTAAGGTTAATAGGATTAATCTGTAAAGTGTCTGGAGATTACGTGTTGTGAATTGGCTCCATATAAATAAACTAAACTGAATTAATTAAATAATCATCAACTAATTTAGTAATCAATTAATTATTAAATGGAGTAGAGGCTGTAAAACATGCCTTTAGCTGACAGAGTGACGCACTTAGAGCAGGAATTATACCAAGATTGATTCCCACTCCCACAGCCTGTTACTTCCTGAGCAACCCACTGCTCCCCGGGCGCCGCACAATGGCAGCCCGCTGCTCCCCAAGGGTTAAATGCAGGGAGGGAATTTCGTTGCTCTGAACTTGTGACAGAGGAATGACAATAAAATTTAATTCAATTTCTATAATTGTTATTTGTGAAATCACCTGTCAGCAGGTGAAGAATAAAAATGTTCTAATCTATGGAACCTGTTCATCATCTCATGGGTTCCTCCTCACAGTAAATCAGTGGCTGTTTGCTGCAGAGTTTCGGATGTTATCGTCCCAATAAATGGTCGTTATTAGCGGCTATTAGTCCCATAGACTGGCTCCAGATGGACCAGTAGGACCAGTAGGTTGGTATCATCATGTAAATCTTTATCCTAAAGTCATTCATTTTCCCCCACAGAATTAATGAATCTATTTATGTGTAATCTGAAAATAATTGATGTAGTTCTTCATGTACTCTAAAAGTTAATAACTAAAAATGTCATTTTATTAACTAAACCAAAGACCAATAAATCTCCTCTCCTGTCACTGAGTTGTAGAATCCTCTCTTTATAAATGTTTAATTCTCTGTGAATTCATTAATGCCGATCATTCTTTAATAAGATCCTTGTCTAACGGACATGAAATGTTTGTTTTTAAAACCTGATTTTTTTTTATGCACAAAACTGAGAGAAAAATCTCCAGACTGAATCAGGAAATAAAGCAGAGTGATAGACGGAGGACTCTGACAGTGGTGAGGATGCAGTGATGCAGTGGTGAGGATGCAGTGGTGAGGATGCAGTGATGCAGCGGTGAGGATGTAGTGATGCAGCGGTGAGGATGCAGTGATGCAGTGGTGAGGATGCAGTGGTGAGGATGCAGTGGCGAGGATGCGGTGATGAGGATGCAGTGATGAGGATGCAGTGGTGAGAGGATGCAGTGGTGAGAGGATGCAGTGATGCAGTGGCGAGAGGATGCAGTGATGCAGTGGTGAGGATGCAGTGGCGAGAGGATGCAGTGGCAAGGATGCAGTGATGCAGTGGTGAGGATGTAGTGATGCAGCGGTGAGGATGCAGTGGCAAGGATGCAGTGATGCAGTGGTGAGGATGTAGTGATGCAGCGGTGAGGATGCAGTGGCAAGGATG